AGAAAGAGAACAAACACTGAAATACTGGGGTGTGTCCTAGGAATTAACGCAGCAGTTGTGGGACATAAATCGTCCTGTTGTAGGATTATGTCCTTGGAATTAAAGAGGAGCTGTGGGATGAGAGAAATGTCCTGCCTTTCACCAGCCTGGCACTTTCTTCCCCTTGTTAATCATCCAGGGGCATAAGCCTGCCTAGTCACCTCTCTCAGCTAGATTTCTTAGCTAAGGTCAGTAACTGTAAATGTGAAGTATTTTGTTTTTCTGAGGGTCACCATCTCTGATCGGATTGCTGCGTGCATGAAGGATGAAGGGATACTTTGTCTTCCTGCATGGGTCTCTTTTCTACCCTGCAAGGGTGAGATGGGTTGTATAACCCATTTGCCCGGCTTCTTAATGGGAAAAAGAAATGTTCCAATTTGAATATAAATTAGGTGGGGAGGATGTCCCTCTATGATGTCCCAAAGTCGATTTTGTATTACTCCCTGGTTATCTTCTGAAAAACAGCAACCAGTAGCAGCTCAGAATTCTCCCCTTTAACCATTTGGTTTCCTCCTCTGTGGGCCACTTAACTACACAAAGTCAGAGTAAGAAGCTCAAGGAGATCCTGAAAAGTACTTGGGCAAGTGTCCAAATACTGCCAGGAGGACATCAGGCCCACGGGGCTTTTCATGGACCTCCCGTGAGTGCAGAGGCCACTCATGGGCAGAAGCCTGGCAAGCCACAGAGAAGGGCACCAGTGCGGCGGTGAGGGTGGTCCTGCCGGGGAGACAGTTGGAGGTCTACCCTAACACTGTGACTTTTGTTTCCTGATGTTCCAGGGCTTGGAAACCAAGACCACAGAGCTTCGCAACTGAGACTTGTCTTAGTGGGTAAAACTGGAGCAGGAAAAAGTGCCACAGGGAACAGCATCCTTGGAAAGAAGGAGTTTCCTTCTGGCATTTCGGCAAAATCCATCACCAAGTTCTGTAAGAAAGAAAAAACTGCCTGGAAGGGGAGAGAAGTTGTTGTCGTGGATACGCCTGGCGTTTTTGACACCGACGTACAGGATGCTGACACTCAAAGGGAGATTGCTCGCTGCATGGCCCTGACCTCCCCGGGGCCTCACGCTCTGCTCCTCGTGGTCCCGCTGGGCCGTTACACGCTGGAAGAGCACGAAGCCACGGAGAAGATCCTGAACTTGTTTGGAGAGAGAGCTAGAAAACACATGATTCTCTTATTTACCCGGAAGGATGACTTGGATGGCACTGATTTCCACGATTACTTAAAGGAAGCTCCAGAAGGCATTCGAAAGCTGATGGGCAAGTTCGAAAATCGCTACTGTGTGTTCAACAACAAGGCGACAGGAGCTGAGCAGGAGAACCAGAGGGAGCAGCTGCTGGCCATGGTCGAGCACTTGGTCGTGAAGTGTGGAGGATGCTACACTAATGAAATTTATCAAAAGGCCGAGGTGCAAATTCAGAAACAAATCCAAATCTACATAGCAGAGCTAGAGAGAGAGAAAGTGCAGATGAGAGAGAAGTATGAAAAGGAAATCAGAGAGCTGAAGGATGAGCTGGAGCGCGGGAAGCAAATGGCACAAATGAGGAGGGAATTGGAAGAAAGGGAAAGTTTCTGTGCTTTAAGGCAGCAAAATGCCAGAGATGAAGTTGAGGATCAGGATGTGATACTTGAATTCATCTTATTAGCGTGGAAGGTTGCTTCCTTTCTTTTCTCTGTGTTTTGGGAATAAACATTAAGATTAAACTCAATGAAAATCTGTCTGTATTTCCTGCATATTTTTGGGTGGCCCTGCCCCATAGAACTCAGTCACCGAAATCAAAGCACCCTTCCTTTTCTGGCTCTCAGGCTCTCAGGACTAAGGAGCACAGTAAAGTTCACTGTTGGCAATTGGTAGATAGCTTGATTGGTTTACAGGGGAAGGCCAAATTCTCAGTTTGTGAAACTCCAAAGCAGAAGTACTGATGCTCCTTAACTTTGAATTCTTTCTCAGAGGCACAGAGAAAAGGAATGCAGGTGACCAAAAGAGATGACCCCAAGCTTTCTCTGCTTATCCCTAGTAAAAGTTTCCACTCTAGGTTCTTTCTAGATTGGTAGGTAATCTCCCTGCTGTGCCTTCTTCTGACTTACTTTGCCCTTCAGACCAGTGATCATTTTACCCCTATAGCTTATTAGAAAGATCAATTCTTTGCATTTGTTAAGCTTATGGATGGAGGTGCTTAGGGAATTATTTCTAGATGAATGGAAATTTGTTTACTTACGGTTTTACAGAAGGGCTCAAATTGTTTCTTACCATCTGCCCGTTGATGAGCAAACAGTTATCTGGAAAGAACTCAACTAAGGATAATGTCAGAAAGAGTGAAAGGCAGAGATTGAACAGAGATCGAACAACGTATATGGGGTGGTTCAGATGTTATCTGTAGAAACTCCTTCACCAATATAAACCAATCTACTCAATACCCAGTTCTCTCCCTGTGACGTTAACTGCTGCTACCCCACCTCCATCACCCACACCTTGATTACTCACTGCTTGGCGGGTTGTGGGCCCACTGCTGCCCTACCCAGTTGAATTGTTTGCTTATCGTTATTATAATAAAAGCCTTCTGTTCGCTCATATTTGTGCGAGTTGAATCTATTTTTTCCTCCCCTAGGGAAATACCACTAATACTTCTTCTAAGAACACAGGGATGAAATTCAGTTTTTGGAAAAAGTTCAAGATGATTTTGGTCTTGGTCTACCCTCCAGACTTCTCCCCTTCTCCTTTTCCCTGGAAGGTTTGAGCCACATTCTCGACCCCTCTCCTGGTCAAAGACTGTGTTCTCCTTGGATTCATTTGTTATATGTTGATAGAAATTATGTGTAACCAAGATTTCTGAGCCCTTTGTAGCTTTCTTGTTGCAAAAATTCTTTTTAATATATGGATAAAAATACCTGAAATTCTTTTCTACTCTTCTACTCGGTACTCCTCACCTGCTAATTTCTAGGATCTCCCAAAGCACATTTCTATATTCTGGTGGTTATCTGTGATCTTTGCCAGCTCTTCTTGCTCTGTCATCTTAAAATTGTCTTCTCCAAGGGGTAAGTTGGGAGTTCGAGATTTGCAGATACTAATTATTATGTATAAAATAGATAAACAACAAGTTTCTCCTGCATAGCATGGGAACTATATTCAATATTATGTAGAAACCTATAATGAAAAAGAACATGAAAATGAATGTATATATATTTATATATGTATGAATTGCTGTACTGTATGCTAGAAATTCACACTGTAAATCAACTACACTTCAATAATAGAATAAAGAAAACTATGAGACATGAAAAAAAGTAAATAAGAGCTTAATATGAAAAAAAGTATAACTCCAAGTGTTATTTTCTGTGTAAATGCATTCAGTTATTCTTACCTTTGCATCCAGGTTAAAGCTGTAGATGAGGCAAAGAAAAAGGCTCTGCTCTTGAGAAGCAACGAGGAGATAAGAAGCCTATGTGACAGATCCTGAGAGCATTGCCCATTCGTCTTCTAGGGCAGAAGGCAGACAGAAGTGTGGGGGCCCATGATCAGGTTAATAAATTGTAATAGGCCCCAGCCGCTTGTGACCTTTTAGAAGAACAAATGTGCTTTGCTAGCAGGTGCCTGTGCATCTGCACTCCTGTCTCCTTGCCGTAAAAGGCAGAGACAGTGCCTTGCTTGCATAGTTGAGGTTGTAGCTTAGGGCTGCTTCCACAATGGCAAAGCCATTGTGTGTCCCTTACTATAAATGCAGGACATGGCTTGTTTTAACCATAGGTCCATAGTTCATTGCAAAGCGATGACCCATGCCTTCAGCTATAGACACTGGGCATGCTTTCTGCTGTTTGGATAGTCTGTAACCCCCAAGACAAGGAACTGGCTGATCTGGTGGTCTGTTTTGTAATCAACATCTTATATCTGAAGAATGTACTTAGTCCCCCTCTCCCGACTGCCCTGAAGATAAATTGAGCCTTTGTTCTCATTGTGGATTTTATGATCCCTACCCAACCCTGTTTTTCCTTAAGCTCCTGCTCTCCATGACACAATTGTTTGTGACCTTTTCTTTGATTGTACACAATAAATATGAGAGTGTTTGAGAGGCTCGAGGAGTTGGTCTCCAACTCCCTCTCATTCTCTTGACTTTCCACAGAGTCTTGAGTAATTCATTCCATCTCGGTGGGACTTCTGCTGGACAGAACCCACACCGAAGGTCCTTGACATATCACTAATTACTGTGATTAATACATTAGAAAAATGAAACATGTTCCCTTCTTAAGAGTTTTGGGAATTCATATTTATTCATCTATTTAATAACATTCATTAATTGTTTGTACTTGGTGGTAGGTTTTATGCTAGACACTGAGAATCTAGAAATAAGTAAAACAAAGTCCCTTTTGAGACAGGCTTCATTCATTTAGCATAATGATTTTGAGAATCATTCAAGTTATATGCACCAATAGTTTGTTCTCTTTTATTGCTGAGTAGTATTTCATCTTATAGATACACCACAGTTGATCAGTTTTCCTTCACTTATGCTTATGTCCCTAAATGATTTCTCTTGTCTAATTGCATTGGCTAAAATCTCCATTATAATGTTGAATAGTAGTGGGTGGGCACACTTGCTTTGTTCCTGGGTATACATGCCTTCAGTGTTTCCCAATTAAGTAAGTGAGATGTCTCCTGGACTACAGTAGTATATTAAATGTATTTGTGTGTATGTTTGTGTGTGTGTGTGTGTGTGTGTGTGTAATCATGTTAAGCATGTATTCCTCAATCACTATGTTCTTGGGAGTTTGTATCATGAATGGCTATTGAGTTTTATTAAAGTCTTTGAAAAATAATTTATGAGAATAGTCAAGGTGAATGATATTAATAGGTTTCCCAACACTGAACCAATTTTTTATTTCTCTTTTATAGCCCACTTGGTCATGATGTATCACATTCTTAATGTGGTGTTGGCATCCATTTGCTAAATATTTCTTTTAGAATTTTTGTGTTGATATTCATGAGATATTGGTCCGTAGTTCTATCTTTTTGTATTGTCTTGATTAGGCTTAGATATCAATATTATATCTGTTTTGAAAAAGCAATTAGGAAATTTCCGTTCATTTTCAATGCTCTAGAACAATTTAAAGAGCACTGAAATGATCTGGACGTTGAAGGTTTGTAAGAATTCTCATGCAAAACAATCTGGCCCTGGTGCCTACTTTGTGATGTGGTTCCTTAATAGCTTTCTCCAATTCTTCCATGTAAATTGGTCTATTTAATTTTTTTCTCTCTAATGGAGATAA